TTCCATCAGCTGATCCCCTTAGGACAAGCCAAGAAGAAACTCTGGGCAGATGTGTCATCCAAGCCCTCCGGTTCTGTGTTGTTTATGGGGAAAAAATAATTGATGAATGCTGTGAAGCTCTACAGGGCCCCAGGCTGGTTCCAGTTGTTGAAGATTAATGGTGCTAGTGAGTGGGAAAAATAAGAGTTCAAAAAAAAAAAAGCTAAACCCTTTCTCAAAATTGCAAGTTTGAGATGTCCGTGTACTTCCAGGTTTGCTTCAAATCACTTTTAGAGTACAGAGATTGTGTGCAAAATGATCTGGGAAATCCACAAGAGACATCTGCTGCTAACGTCAATGCTGACAGTTCCTGGATGGGAGGGATGAAAGCATTTGGGCAATCAAATAGGAAATTTTTAAGGCAAATGAGGTTGTGAGCCCTTTCAGTTTCATGGTAAGAGACATTTTCACCTCCTAGGGACAGGCTTTGAGAAGCTCCAGTGTGGTTTCCACTGGAGATTTTCTCCATGGTAGATGTCTAGAACTGGTTTCTTTCAATCAATTGTGCTCATACATATATATATATATATGAAAAACCAAAATCTACAGGCTTGTTCAGAGTGAGGAAATCTTGACTGTCAAATAAATCTCAGGAACAATTATTTTATTATAATATATTTATATTTGGAAGACAGCGAGGGAGATGAACAGATTTAGGCTGTAGTTGGCACTTGTTTAAGGCAACTTAACAACCAGTGTAGGAACAGAGACTCTATTGTAATCCCCTATATACACTTGCCCAGTAGCCAAAAACAACAAACAAGCTTGTCATGAAATGGATGTGTAAAGGAAGCAATCAGAATTTGAGAGTGAAACAGAGAGAAGGAGAGAGGGAGAGAGAATGAGACACAGAAAGAAAGAATTTTAAGTGAACTTTTTGTTCTGGAAACAGTAAAAAGGGAAGAAAAAGAAAAAAAAAAAAAAGTTTGGGCCGGATTCTAAGTGGCTCTTGTGTGGCGAATGTTGCAATGAAGACGGTGGTATGTGCATTTTTTAAAATATAAATACCCTGCCATTCACTGATAAATGTAACAGCAATGGAGATTTCTGCCCATCAGGCTTCAAATACCAGTATTGTGTTGGTTACCACCACTCCATCTTTCTTATGACATTCTAAGGGAGCTTTGGGCTCCATGCAGACTGAAGAAGGTGAAGCAGCTCTGTTTTCTTTCCTAGCTGGAAGAGCTTGAAATGGTCAAGAGGACAAGAGCATAGGGAAAAATTGCTCTCCCCTCCTGTCTTCTCCCTGTTTAACTCCAGTTTGCACTTGGGTTTCAACTCCAGCCACCTTGGCCATGCTGTTGTATTGCAACATGATGGTATCCAAGAAGTGAGGTCCTACTTTAATACCCTGCTAGCACAGGCGTGCACTGAAAAAGTCTAATGGGTGGGCAGAATAATTACATGCAGCCAAGGAGAAGCAAGAGACTGCAGTGACCTTGTGCTCTTTGCAATTCTCCACCAGGGAAGATGAATAGCCCAGCACTTTTAGAAATGTCAGATGATCCACTGGCCTATGATTCAGTCTCCCCAAGGCACACGATGGAAGGGCCACTGCCTGACATTTGACAGTGCACCCTGAATACTTCAAGGCAGGTATCACATCCGCCCTCATGGGATGCCAAGATCAGATTAGCAGCAGACGTGCATTCATTACAAAGAAAGCACAATTGTTGAGATACTGAGTGCCTTCACAGTTACAGTTGCTATGGTTTTTAGCACAGAAAAATCACAGCGGCGTGTCTTTAATTAAACAATTGATTTCATGTGGACTGGCCTGTTTTCCAGGCATGTATGGGGTATTACATACAGAGAGTATTTGCTTTCTTCCCAGAGCCTGTCCATGAAAACAAGTAGGTTTGATTTACAACGCCTTGTTGCATTTATTCAAGGGTAACAGTGGAACCTCCATGCATTTAATTTTTGAGCAACACAGGTGTACAGAATGAGCTCTGTAACTTCACACTGAAAGCTGAAGTCTGAAAGCTTCCGAGTCTTTATTCTGGAGATCTACAAGTATCACAGAGCTGTGCTGGAACCAATGCTTTGCCTTTGGTTATAGCTGAAGTTATCAGTCTGAACAATAGAGAGGTTTTGGTGTCTGCCTTCTTCCTGCTTTTTCTACTGCATCCCTCCCTGAAGGATGAGGAGTCATTCTGGGAACATGTCGTGGGGTTACCTGGATGGATTCCAGTTCGACAGTCACAGAGCTGAGAGCTGCAACTCTGCCACTGGGACAAAACAGGTTATGGAGCAAAGGAGGACAACTCAGATAGATGGGAAGCTTTCACTTCAGCTCAAGAAAGGGTTTGCTATGCATGAAATTCTTAGAATCACAGAGGGACTGAAGTTAGAAAAGATCTCTAAGATGATCCAGTCCAATCCCAACCCATCCAACCATGCCCAGTGACCACGTTCCTCAGTGCCACATCTCCATGGTCCTGGAACACCTCCGTGGATGGTGACCCACCACCTCCCTGGGCAGCTGTGCCAGTGCCTGACTGCCCCTTCTGAGAAGCAGTGTTTCCTAATAGCCATTCTGAACCTTTCCTGAAATTAAACCCTAGCCTGTGAGAATTTTTCCAGCAGACATTTGTCATGAAACACCATGATGATGACCTTAGTGTGCATGGTGATGTACAGCAACACTTTTCAGAGGCCTCTCAGTTATTGTGATGTTTAAATTCATTATTAAGGATTATTAAGGGAGAAAGTCATAGGTGCAAAACCCTGAATGAGGAACGAGAAGACATCCTTTCTTTTTGCCTCCTGATGAGGACAAGGATAGATGTTAGGGGCAGCTTTTTCACATCAAGCTCTGCTCTTGTTGGTTACCTCACAGAGCCTTTTCGGGAATCACTCCTCCCTTACGAAACATATTTATGATTGCAAAAGTTGACACTAATTTATCAAAATGGAGAGAGGAGGAAAACCTCCGTCTTTCTGAATCTGAATTAAAACAACAAAAGAGAGTTTTTGTAAGTAACTAAAACCCCCAAATTGGGCGATTATAAGAAAAACAGGAACGTTTTTGCTGCAGACACTTCTTGCCAAAACATTCATTTCGACCAAAAGTTTATTTCTCATTTATCTATCTTCTGAAAGGGGGATAGGATTCAGTAGGAAATTTCTGCCAAACGCATGCCAAACTCCTCTCTGTCTCTAACCATACACAGAGCAGTGAAAGCCCTTGAGGGGAATGGAGTCATGAACATGCATTCCTCCACTTGGTGTCTGAACAGGGCTCAGCTCAAGAGAAAGTATTCTTGGAAAACTGCCTCCACCTCTACACTCCAGAGAGCAGCTTATCACCAAAGTAAGAGAAGCAGAGGAAAATATTCCAGCTTGGCCAAAGGAAACCATTTGTTGCAGCAGACATGGTAGCCCAAAGGGATGAGCAGGCAGAAGACAAGGGCGGTGTGCCAGCATTGCTCCCAGTTATTCAAAGCCATAAAAAATGTTCCATGTTGTTTTGAGGAGCCAATGAACTCACAGGTGTGAACTTGAAAACAGGAAGTAGACAGGAAAAAAAAAAAAAAAGCCATCTATTTCCTCTTTCAAAAAAAAAAAGAAAGAAAATTCTTGGAAATGCATTGTTTGGGACATTAGTTTCCATATCCAAGGAGGGTTTTTTTTGTGTGTTTGGGGACAAACTAAACTACATAGCACGAAGCTGAAAGGAAGAACTCAGTTCAAGGGGATGGTTCCTGGGATAGACTCCTTGTTATTCCCTTGTAAATTGGTATATAAAAGGGATAAATCTTTGTTCCCAATAATCCTCCTGGAAAGGAGGCACAATAGCCAGAACCAGCACGGGAAGCACAGTGATGACACAGTGTGAGGAGCAGAAACAGCCCCCAGCATTTTCTGGTTGATGGTGGAGCTGTAAAGGTTGGGAGCCAAAGATCATCCTCTCCCACTTGGAAGGGACATGGTCATTTAAAGACATGCAACAACAGCTTCTCCTTTTCTCTTCACCCTCTTGACCCCAAACTCTCAATGGTAGTTGGAATGAAAATGCCCCATGCCATGTCCTCTGATGAGCTTGTTCCTCAGTATCCCTTGCTAGCTGAGGGTCAAACACTGGATAGTTGCATCTGGACGGCACTCAGAACACAAGGAATAGGAGACTTTAGGACACATATTTAAAAACTTTAAAAATAATATTAATTCCTGCTTGTCAGCACTGAATTTTCCTGTAGCTGTGTCTTAAAAATAACCTTAAAGCAAGTGACACAGCCAACCCTACAACCAAAATAATACAACACTGCAGCTCTCAGGTATTTATCCACCCTAGGACAAAAGTAAAGAGACTTTGAAATTTTCTTTAAACAAAAATAAAGAACAAAAGAAAACAAGGAGAAATACATAAACAGTCAACACTAAGTATTTTCATATACTCGTGATACTACCCAAAGTTCATCTGTGCTTTCCTCCCATTACTCCCGCTAGGTTTACCAGCATTTTATTCCTCCCTTTCCCTGGCCATTCCCCTCTCCATATTCTTTTCTCCCCAATTCTTATTTATGTATGACCTCATTTGCATACAGCCAGTCCCAGTCCTCTGCAAAATGCCAGGGCTGTCCTTTTAGAACTGCACTCAGTGATCATTTTGGGTCCCTTCCAACCTGGGATATTCTATGATTCTATGCTAAATGGATGATTTTGGATAACAGGAGCTGCTGAAACTGGAATTAGTGGATTTAAGCAGGTGGATGCCACCTATCCTCCCAAGTTCCTTGGGGATCCATTGGCTCATTTATGGTATTTAATGACAAACTGTATCAAAAAGTTGGCATCGCTCTTTTTATTCAGGAAAAAAAAGTGCAGGTGAGTTGCTCATCCTCTGCCAGACAAAAAGCAATGGGCAGAAAGAGGAAGAAAGTAGTGATTTCCTCATAAATATCTTTGCTAGCCTTACCCCATAAGTAGGGGACAAGGTATAAAAGCTACAGGTTTTGGGAGTAAATAGGCTTGTAGCAGTCAAGCACAGCTTGTTTGCATTAGCAACCATCAGCTGTGAGGTGATGGCTTAAGGAAATGGATAGGTACTGAGACCAGGGTTATAAAGAGGCATTTTGCAGCCATTGGGTATGTCCTGTGTTTCTCTTCTTTTCCTGTTCTGCTATTCAAGCAGCTGTCCCCTGTCTTGATTTCAACACAGATTGTTGTGTCGGGGCACTGGGACCTTCCAGGAGAAGCATTTGTGATTCTTCATTGCATGCACTCAAAGGCAACTGTCCAGGAAAGACTCCACAGTCTGCAGCAGCCCAGGGGTAAGTAACCAAAAAATGCCTGCATTTGCTGTTGGGAAAGCACAGGTTGTGGAAAAGGTCTCGTTGATGGGTGAGATAGAAAGCAAACAGGTGTTGGTGTAGACCTGGAGAGAGAGTTTCCCTGAGAATGCAGTGATCTCAGCTCTGCTCCTTCCCATCTCTTTCCCAGAAAGGGAATCTCTTCTCATTGATGCCCAAGAAACATTCACTCCTTCCTGATTGTTTCTGTTCGCGGGGAAAGCTCAGCCCAGCCTGGCCCTTTCCTACAGCTCAGCATTAAGTAGAAGAGCATCGTGGTTGCCTGTGGCTGTGCTGAATCCTCTCCCTCCTTTACAACACTGGAAATCATTGGGAACATTTGATTTCTATTGAACTAACACCCAGAGATCTTTAGCTTTCACATGAATACTGACATACAGAGCAGAAAGGTTTTCCAGAATAGTGACTGGACCACGTAATTTTAAGGTAGGTCTGAACCAACGCTGGCTATCAATAAGCTGGAGTGGGGGCAATGGGTTCAAGGAGGGGCAGAGATTGCTTTTAGCTTTCCATGTGATCCAATCCACAGGATGCAGGTGATGTTCAACTAGTTCTGTGGTTCTACAAAGTCCTTCCAGAAGAGACTTAAGTCTTCCTGCTTTCTTGAGCAAGTACTGTGAGCACTGATGAGCACAGATACCCCATACTGACACTTCTGGATATCTCTGAGTGCTTGACCTGCTATATATAAAAATGTTGATTGAATCCAGCCTTGGCAGAAAGATTGTTGCAGGAACACCTAGTCTTCAGGTTGTGGCAGGGCTTGTATGTCACTTAGGCAGCAACTACCCATCTTGGTCTTGGATGAGGCCCTCCATATAGAAATAAGTAGAATTTTCCTAGCTTAAAAAAGAGATTTCTAAGCTAAGAGAGAATGGTCCTCAATAGGTAGAAGATCAAGGTTTTTTTGTGGTTGAAATAGAGGGGCAAGGCAAGGAATTAGGGTATAGGTCTTATTAGTCCCTCATGGTTGTTTGAAGGTATTTCTGTGGCTCAAAGAAAAGCTTCACTCATAGAGTCCTAAATTGTTGTCACTTAGGGTAGTATGGTTAGATTGTAGTTGGGCTCGATGATCTTTCAGGTCTTTTCCAACCTGAGCAATTCTATGATTTTTAAGGTTGGAAGAGAGCACTAAGTTCACCATGCCCACTGACCACATCCCTCAGTGCCACATCTCCATGGTTCTGGAACACCTCCAGGGATGGTGACCCCAACACTCCCTGGGCAGCCTTTGTCAATGTTGACCTCTCTTTCAGAGGAGAAACATTTCCTAATAACCAACCTGAACCTCTCCTGGGGTAACAGGCTGAACTGCAGCCTGGGCCAATTAGCCTTGAGTTGTGCATAATGATTTCACCTTTCTTTATGAGAGAGAAAATCTGGTGGTGATGGAATGGACCAGAAGAAAACACAACCACTGCAATCCTCATCACCAGGCTGGCTCCTCTGCTTGGTGACAGACCTCTGGCCAGCACAGGGCTTTGACTTTATTGGCATTGCCAGCCCTGTGCATGGCTCATCTCACCGTTACTGATTTGCCTGCAGGAGCAAGGATGTGTCACCAGCACAGCAGCTCTGACTCGGGTCCATGGGGAGAGAAGTGATGCACATGCTCCCTGTAATAGCTTCTCCAGCCTGCTCACTCCAATAATAGTCTCCGTGTGTGAAATTTCACCTGACCTGAACTTTCCCGAGTTTATCCAGCCTTCACCCTGACAGTTCAGAGCAGAACTGTTTTTATGCCTCGCAACCCAGACACCAAATTGGAGCTGAAGTGACGTTTATTGTTTCAACAGTGTTATTATATGAAGATTGAGCTCATTACAAACACGACCTGTTTTTGAGCCAGGACACATATTAATTTGGATAAAATACCAGCTGTGTCCTCTCTCCATATGGCCTTATCAGGAAAACAAACTGGGTTAAGTTTCATTCCAAAGAATGAAAATGTAATTGAATACTTGCTTCGTTTGAGGAAACTCAAATAATCATTATCGTCACGTCTCTGCTAATCGCAGCAGAGAGGGGGCAGAGGTGTTTATTTCTGTGCATATCTAAAAATAAACCAAGGCACAATTCCTGTGGGGGGGGGGGAACAGAGGGCAGCACGGGGCAAACTCTCCTCTAACTCTGGGAGAAGAAGGTTGTCACCCAACCTATGATCCAGCATTGCGTATTGTGGTTTTGCTGTGTTTTTGTGGTGATTTTGCATTTGTTTTGTGTTTTTGGTTTGTTTTTGTTTTTTTTTCCTTAGAGGAGACAGGGGTTATCTCTGAGAAAGCATAGAGGTGGATATGCAAAGGTCTTTTCTCCTCCCCATCAGCACTCTGTGTTGTAATTAAGGGCTGCATCCCAGCGCTGCATGTTGGCCTCAGACATCTCCATCAACAACCCAGAGAGACAAATTTAGGAGTAGGGGATGCTGCCTTCCCCTCATCGTTGTGAATCTGCATGGCATTAACACAGAACTTAGCTCTTAGTGCTCCTGGCCCTGGGAGGAGCGCTTTAAGCTGCACTTGCACCTTAAAAATGAAATAAAGCACATGGATGGGGAAAGGAGCCCAAGCTGCTGTCAAAGATGTTTCACTGAAAGACTTCCTGGTGTTTGCTTTGGTGCAGGGGAGAGCTGTGCAAGGAAGCTCTCGGAGGGTTTATTTTCCATAGAATCATTTGAGTTGGAAGGTTCTTTTAAAGGCCATCTGGTCCATCTCCCTGCAATGAACAGGGACACCTACAGCTTGATCAGGGTGCCCAGAGCTCCATCCAGCACTGGGGAAAAAAAAATGTCAATCCTTGAATGCCTTTGGCCATCTGTGATCTGGGATTTCTGCATCTAGAGCTAATTGTGTGCCTGATAGCAGTTGACAGATTTTTATTTCAGTAATTTGAACCCTTCAAAGAGAGAGCCCTTCATGAGACTGGGGCTTTGGGAAGGTCCTGTGACTTCTGCAACTAGCAGTAGAAATGTCCCATCCCAACTCTATATGTGGATGTTAAGATGATGAGAGAGCGGAGGATTGATTTCAGGGGCTGGAAAGGGATTTCATCATCACACGTGATGGATGGGCTGGGATGGTTTAGTCTGGAGAAGAGAAGACTTAGTGGAGACCTCATCACTGTATGCAATGCCTTGAAAAGAGATTGGAGCAAGGTTGGGGAAACAGGTACCCCAACGCCAGGTAACAGTGATAGGATGAAATGTGATGGCTTCAAACTGCACCAGAATAGGGGTCAGGTTGGATATTAGGAAACATTTATTCTCCAAAAGAGCAGTCAGGCACCAGCAAAGGCTGCCCAGGGAGGTGGTGGAGTCAATGTCCTTGGAGGTGTTCAAGAACTGTGGAGATGTGATACACGATGGGATGGGTTGGGCTTGGACTGGGTGACCTTAAAGGTCTTTTGCAACCTGTATGATTCTGTGAGCCAAGGAGGATTGATAATGAGGCCAACATAGAACAGAGGAAGAAATGAAGGCAACAGAAGAAAGCAAGTGAATTAAAACAGCTCAGTTTGGAGCTCTGTTTTTGCAACTGGTTGGGAAAAGAGAGGACATTTCACCCATGCATTTGTGTGAAAAATAAATATGGCAATGACCTTTTTTTTCAGTAGAAGAATTTGGGATGTGGTTTGGCTTTAATTTCAAAAATTAAAAGAAATGGTTTTCTGTTTGTTGTACTAAAACCAGACCTGTTCTTGATCCTTAAACCAAATTCTTCTGTTAAAAATAAAAAGTCAAACCTTTTTTTGTTTTGTTTTTCTTTTTTCTTCTGAGGAGAGACTGAAATCTTCAAGTGGAAATAAATCAGAAGCCCAAATAAATCTTCTGCTCCAGAAACTCATTTACTGGCTATGCAACACCAGCTGTTTGAATGCAGTTTGCGTGTTGGAAACCAACACAGCAAGTGCAGGTGAGTGACATCTTCAAGGGACTCCTTTTGGGCTGAAAGCTGCTCTGGAGCAGCCAAATTTGGGATCTTTGTGTTTGAGCTATAGCAGCACAAACAGAAGTTTGGTCCCGAGTGGAGATGCTCTGATCCACCACTTGGGTTTTCCATTTACAGCCTGTTCTGTGGTCAGCCTATGCCTACACCCAACCCATAGAACCAGGTCCAGGAAAAGAGTTATGGGGACAGGTAGCTTTGATGGTACTGAAGCATGGGGAACCTGAGATCTTATCAGGTGTTGAAATAAAATGCATGATTAAACAAGTAAATAAGGAGGGAGGATGGCACTGAAATCATAGTGTAATGAAAAAAAGCTGAGCCTGGCACATTAATTGGAGGCTTAGCATCACATCCATCACCACCTCATTGTATTTCTCTGAGCTGTGGAATAGGCTTTGCATAAAGCCATACAGTAACTTAACATCCCAAAGCTGTAGAAGCCAAAACCTAAACAACAACAACAAAAAAGAGAGTAACACCCTCAATGTTGTCCTCCTCCTCCATAATAAATGATGTGGGGAGGGAAGTAAATAAAATTATGGAAAATTAGTATTTCTGAAAATTTCTGGGGGCCGTCTGCAGGGTGGAGCCCATCTGCTTTCCCTGCTGCTATTATTGCCAAGGGAAGGCAGCTGAGTAGAGCATGAGTGGGAGCACGAGGGAAAGACAGTCTCATCCCAGGACTTGGTCCTCAGTCTGTAACTCAGTGTGCTTGCATGGCTTTGAAGAAGCTGCCAAACCCCAGAGCATCTGCCTCAGCATCTAAAATGGGACTTTGAGTGGATTTTGGACTCTTCCCTCAGAGATCACTATTCTTTCAGGGCTTTGGACTGCAAAGAACACCAGGTGCCCAAATCACTGCTTTCTGCAGAGACAGGCAAGAGTCCAGACTCAGCATGAAGGTGCTTTGCTCATTCCTGCGTGACCCAAACATGCTCCTAAACCAGACTGAGGCTCCCAGGAGCCTTTGCCTTTAGGTTTGTGTCAGATGAATCCTATTTGGGCAGAAATTTGCTCTCAGGACCACCACCACCCCTTCCAGGTTTCATGGGGGGGAGGACCTCAGTGCAATCGTAGTGGCTCAGACATACCCTGTCCCTGTGCTCTGGTGGTATTGCATCCAGTCAGCATTGGGAATTTCTAACCCAATCTACAAAGGTACCCAACATCAGTTGTTTTTAATAACGCATTTGGTTTTGGCCAAGAAATTGCAGATTTGTGCATGTAATGTAGAGGTTGTACGTGTAACACAGAGGTTCTTGTGGCTCACCTGTGTATCAAAATCCACTCTGATGCATTAGGATTTAATTACGAAACACTGCTGGCCCCGACTCCATTACAATGTAATTAAAAAAGCTTTGGGATATCGGACAAGGAGCTGATGGGGCTCATTTTTGCCAGAATGGATAAAATTCCTCCCTACAAGGCAGTTCTTCTCACCCAACTGAGCTGCTTTCTACTTACAAGCAGCTCTGAATGCCTTCAAAACACAAGGGCCTGACCCCAGGCTGGCTGAAATCAAGGGAAAGACTCAGAGCTCGGATGCTGGAGCCAAAAATCTCTTTTCATTGGGATTACAGAATGAACTATCGCACTGCTTAAGTTTCCCCTTTGACTGTGTATGTTTTCTGGCTAATACAGTTAGTTAGGAATTGGCATCAAATGTTTCTTGACACCTGCTTCATGTCCTTCCATGGTGGAGTTGTGGACAGGATCACTAGAGCTAAATCCTCCACTTGTGCCTTGGCTACACAGGCTGAACATTCTGGGTTGGTTTTTATCCTGCCTGGAGCCCAGTGCCTCGTGCTGGATGACAACACGAAGACATCCAGCCCACAGTTCAAGTGGTGGATAATCCATTGCTTTCCTTGCTCATTTACTCCATTGGTTAGTCACCCTCTTCATTTAGGCTCCGTGCTTTATTTTTAACTGATGTGAGTGCCGAAAGCTCTGTTTTCTTTTTCCCACTGCATGCCACCGTGTTCTCCTACAGAGATGAAAAGCCGGCGACGTTTCCTTGTTATCCAGGTCACTGCCATCCACGGGATGCAGTTGTTTCTCTGAGATGCATTTTTTCTCTTTGTGTGCCTAATAGTTCACTAACCATCACACATGCTCCTAAAAGTGGAAGCGTTCGCCTGCTTGCTCTTTTCAGATGTCAACTTGGCAAGACGAAATCCCAATATTTCCTGCGTGGGCTTGGCTGGATTGAATCACGGAGTGGTGCAATAAAACAAACGCGTCTCACAATGCAAAACAAGGAAAACTATCCCTTTTCAAGACGAGCATCTCTATTGGCTTATCCCTTCCCTACGAAAGGCTGACATTTGGTTTAAGGTAGAACACATTCTTGACACACAGGCCTATGATCCGTTACAAAAGGGAGCCCACTTCCTGGATTTAGGCTAAGGGACAGGGTTCAGGCAGGGGGCAAGCTATATATGTGTCAAAATGAGCAATGTCTTTTTGGGTCACATATACTTTTGACTTCAACACTGCTTTATGTAGGCTGTAAAATTAATAGGTGGGAACTAGATTTATTTGTCCCCCTGGCCTGGTAGTTGCTTGTTAGGTTAAACTCACTGATTTCCTGGTACAAAAGTGCTTGTTAAAATAATCTCCCTGAAAATATTCCTCTGGGACTACTTTATCTTCTGAAATCAAAAATTCCTAAATAATGAAATGCTCAGGATGTGACAGACGAGCTCGAGCAAAACAAAACAAAACCCCCCAGAAAAGAAGAGCTCATTCCCATAAACTCTGCTTGGGGAATTCATCTCCTTTCTGGTGTTTTGTAACAAATGCCAGCATCCGTGCTCCACGCAGAAATACCCTTCTGCAGAACTCACCTGTTGCTCTTTTCTTTCCTGAGCCTCATTCTGCCCTCCTCGTTGACCCAAGTTTCTCTGTGATGTAATTCCCATTGACTTTACCCAGCTTGGATCAGTCGTCAGTCACAGAATTTCCAAACAAGGACACAAGCAGTGAGAAGACTTCTATACTCAGCAGGCCTCTTTTTCCTATGTTTTCAGAGAGTCTGCTCCCCAAACATCACTTCCCCCCAGCCCTCTCCTCCTCAGCAGGGGCCTTGAATCTGCTCGTTTGCTTACGTTTATTGCTCATCTACAAATCTCAGCCCATAAATTAAGAATCCAGCACTACA